AAGATCAAATTAAGTCATTGTATTCATATAGGGTCAAGGAGTGTAGCTTTAAAAAATCATCAAAATCGGAGTTAGAATAACTGTTAAATCGTGATTTTTCATTTATAACCGTTAAAAAGTTTTGTCCCTTTACTAGATCTCTGAATGTTTGTTTTTTGCGATTTTTGGGGTATACGATCTTGAAGTATATACAAACAAGTTTGACGATTGGATCATTGACTGGTGTGTGTATATATATATATTTATTAGTAGCTTTAAATTTATTATTGTAGTTAGAATTGAGTTTTTGTTAGAAAAATATATTATTGTGGGTTTTATGTAAACTTGAATTTGTATTTTTTTTGTTTTTTGTTTTTGGGAAATGAAGGAAGAAAGTTGTAAAAGAAAAAGAAAACACACTTCTTAGTGGAGCCACCTGTCCTTTTTCTTACTGTTATTTGCCAATTTCTGCCCAAGTATTTTTTTTTGGTATGGCGCTCTTTTTTCCCCCGAAAATTCTAATCTCGCGCTCTCGCTCCAGACCCAAACCCTAAAATTCCAATATCCACTCTCGCGCTGCCTCTCTCTCGCACTCTAGCTCCCTCTGTCTATCTTTGGTTCTATCCGGCCTCTCTTCCTCTTTCGCTAGGAGATTAGCCAGCAATCTCAACACCTCCTGTCATCATCTGTCTGTCTCTCTCCGTGTCTCTGTCTTTGGTTCCATCTCTTCTAACCCAAACCTGCGCTTTCTCTCTCTCATCTACAAACTCTCCAAATCTCACAAATATCTCTGAGTCCAACACCAAAATAGCAAGGTTGTGTATGCACCCTATCTTTCATCTGTCAACGAGCATGACTTGGAGAAGGTGATTTTTTTTTTCTTCCTGAATTTGGTTTTCTCTGTGTTCCAGGTTTCAATTTTTCATGAATTTGCTATACGGATCTCAGCTCTTTGGAAAAGTAAATGGTATGCTTTGATTGTTGTTCTTAGTATTTTGAAGGGTCAGAGGGTTGGGAATGGTTCTGGGTTTGGAATATGATATTACTGTATGATTCCTTTGTTCTGGTTCGTGTCTACTTTTGTTGCTGCTATCATGGCTTTTTCTGGGTCTGTAGTTTAAGGATTTATAATCCATTTTGCTTGAAATTCTCATAATCTTGGTCTGAATTAATGAGTTCATTTAACTGAAGATCTGTTTTTTCGGGTTTGCTAAGTATTCTGTCTACAAAGCTGTTCTGATGTCTGGTTGAAGAAACTGAGAAAATCTGCAAATGTGATTTTCGGTGTTTACTTGATGTAACTGAACTGGTACTAACGATGGCTGCAATATTATTATATTGACCAAGGCTACTCTTTCTTTTGAATAATGAAGTAAAGAATTACCTTTTCCATTGGTTACCTTTTCAGATCCAATGAATTATGTCTTGCAAAACGTTGGCTAGCTTTTGAATTGTTGTTTCATATGGTTTATTTGAGAAGTCTATTGACATTTTAATATTTTAAAGGTCTTGGTGTCTTTCTATTATTATTTCTAATAATATTTTCTCAATATAAAATTTCTCAATAATTGTATACTTTCTCATAGTTATCTATGTTTTTTTTTCTTCCAGGAACACTGCAAGTGAAATGTTGAAGTCTGGATCACGTTCATGAATGCTATATACATGTTTTCTTTTTTGTTATCTCAGTTTGGTGTAAATGTTTAATATATTTTTAGCTTTTTTTGGGAATGTTATTGATCTTTTTGGGCATGTATAATATAATGTGTTGTTTGGAGACCACTAGACCAAAAAACGTATTGTTTTGAGATATTTTATTTTAAGATTTTAAAAATCATTAAAAAAATGTATAATTTATTTTTCTTATCGTGTGAATCGTGTCGTGTCGTCACTACTAAAAAACTGGGCTAAAAGCACGAATTTTATTCGTGTTCTTTGTTTCAAATAGCACGGATAATCGTGCCCTATGAAGATAGCAACGGTGCAGCCACTTTATAGTGGTCGGTCTCCTGTATAGGGGTTTCTATTGATTATAGAGCACAAATATGCTGATTCGTGGCAAATATTTAGAGCACGAATCCAAGCATTTGTGCTTCTATATTGACAACTGACGGAAGTCTTAGATTGATTAGACAAGTGCAATCTGAGCACAGTTTCAAAATTGTGCCCAAATGGGGATGTATTATATATATAATTTTTTATAACTAAGCACACAGTTTCAAAACCGTGCTCAATGTGTATGTATTTATATATTTTTATAATTTTTAAAAGCTAAGCACAATTTAAAACCGTGCTCAATACAATAAGTTTTTTTTTAACTAAAAAGAACTAAGCACAATTGAAACTGTGCTCAATACAATAAGTTTTTTTTTTAAAAAAAAGAGAGAAAACATACGACCATTGAACATGTTTCCAACCAATTCACTTTTCCCATTTTCAAATTTTTTTTAATAAGCCTTTCCCAATTTCCGTTTTTGCACATGTCTGCTTACTGTGCAACATTAATACTACTGTAACCACCATTTTATTGGATGTCAATAAAAATCAATACTTTTGGCAAAAATAAAAATGAAAATCAATAATTTTTGTTTATTAAAAATGAATAATTTAATCAGGAGGAAAAAAATATCTCTATTTGAACATTTCCAAATCCTATACACTTAGCGTTTTACCCAAGTATTGCACATATTAGCCCTTAAGCACTTTATCAATGACGCAATATAAAGCCACTGGATACCATTAAACCATATGAACTTGTGTTTGTACATAAAAGACAATAAACTATTGTCACTTTAACGATGTCCAATATTGCAGCGAAATGAAAATTATAAGCATCCCAACACATTATCGGTTGCAAGTACATAAGTATAACATTAAAATTCATTAGTTTGTAGCATCGCAGTTGGATACATCTACAAAGTAAAGCTATACATACTACCAAAACATCTACTTGAATTTACATCTTCATCTTCTAAACTTGGTCTACAATCTAAATGCAATTCACAACACCTACCTAATATCATGTACATCTTGGCCAGCAAAAGGCCTAACTTGTGGTCAAAATAGCAACCCAAAAATACAAGGCAAAGTCTCCAACCAAGTTAGCATAACAATCAGCTAACTCATGCTTCAAGTTCCACAAAATATTATCCAAGCCCCATCACAAAACATTCATCTAACTTATGCTTCAAAATATTATCTAATCCCCAATAGTCATCTAACTTATCCAACCCCTAACACATAATACTATCACAGCCAAACAAAAAATATGCATCAAGTCTGAAACTAACCAGAATTTGCACTATGACAATCCGTAGCATCATGCGTTGCATCTGATTGTGGAGCATTTGTTGCACACTGCATTCCAAGACGTGCCTCATACCCTTGTGTTGTCGTTTGAGCTTGAGAACTTCC